TTTTTTTTAAAAAAAAATCCCCATTCCATCAGAGGGGATGCTATCGTTTTCCCAAGAACTGAAGAAGCTTCTTGGATGAGAAGCGAAACGTCTTCTAGGAAAAACAAAGTCCGTCTGCCTTTTGAAAAAGCACCCTTAGGACAAAACATGACCTAGATGCAGTCGTTAGCAAACCAACGATTCATCATGGGTTGCAGTTTTGCCAAACCCTGGAAGTAACTTCAGGGTTTGGGGCAAAACTGTCGTAAAACCCACTCCCATGGCTGTGGGATGCAGAAAACAACTGTATGTGTGGTTGTTTTCCCAAGCGTTCAAAATTTGATCGTGGGACTGCACACCGAGGATACCATGCCATAATATGCTTGCTTGTTTGGTGGGGTGGAGGTGGATTTAATGTGTTGTCTGAATCCAGCCAGTTCTGGTTTAATCAGGTAACACGGCCTAGTGCAGGGGCGTTCAACCTTGGTAATTTTAAGACCTGGGGACTTCAATGCCTAGAATTTCCCATGCTGGGAGTTGGAAGTCCACACATCTTGATTTGATTGATTTGATTTTATTAAGTTTGTATGCCGCCCTATTCCCGAGAGACTCAGGGCGGCTCACAATAAAAAGGGAAGGGATACAAAAAATAAACTAAAACAACAATTTAAAATTCTACAATAGCCGTAACCTCGAATGGGGCTGGATAGTTCAACAGTTCGCCACCCTGAGTCCCTCCCGGAGAAGGGCGGCATACAAATAATAAAATTCAATTCAAATTAAATTCAACAGTCCCAGGCCTGCCGGAACAGCCAGGTCTTAACTGCTTTGCGGAAGGCCAGGAGGGTAATAAGGGTCCGGATCTCCACGGGGAGATCGTTCCAGAGGGCCGGAGCAGCCACAGAGAAGGCCCTCCTCCGGGTGGCCGACAGTCGACATTGGCTAGCTGATGGAATCCGGAGGAGGCCTAATCTGTGGGATCTAATAGGTCTTTGGGAGATAACTGGCAGGAGGCAGTCTCTCAAGAATCCCAGATCCAATACCATGTAGGGCTTTAAAAGTAACGGCTAGCACCTTGAAGTGTGTCCGGAGACCAATAGGCAGCCAGTGCAGCTCGCGGAGGATAGGTGTGACGTGGGTGTACCTNACCTTGTTCCCATGTCTCTCCCAGTCATGAATATTTTGGCAGAAAGTGTGAGCTTGGAGAAGACTACTTTAAATGAGGTTCCAGGTTGTTGTTTCACAATATGTCCAAGAGCCATAAATGTGCCTTTTTTTGTTGTTCTTCTGTACCTATTTTTTCCCCCCTCGTTGTGTTCCTTCCCTTGAAGGAAACTTGTCTTGTTTCCATGAATGATGGGAGACTTCCTCCTCCAGGGGCTCCTAAGTTTAGTACAGGGGTCTCCAAACTTGGCAAGTGGACTTCAACTCCCAAAATTCCCAAAGTTTAGTACAGGGGTCTCCAAACTTAAGACAAGTGGACTTCAACTCCCAAAATTCCTCGGCGAGGAATTCTGGGAGTTGAAATCCATAAGTCTTAACGTTGTCAAGTTTGAAGACCTTTATCTTAGTGGATAAACCACTCAGGATGCAGGAGCATTTAATTACGCAGTCCTATCCCCTAGGCCTTCATATGGACCGACAACATGCCATATCCATGGCTGACTGTTATCTACTCAACATGCCTTGGAGGCACATCAATACCTCAGTAGCAATTTAGCAATGACTGTCCATGGCTATCTAAATTATGAGATCTGTCCATGGTGCTGAAGTCTATCTAGCTTGCATTGAGTGACTATTCTAAGCCGTTTTCATTCTCAGCCATGTCTTGTCTAATTTCCATTATTTTCTCCCTCAACTTTGAATCAGCCTTGTGGGATGCAATCCTGATTCTTGGTTTTCTGTTTCTTCAACCCACAGTCACGCCCCCATCTTTGCAGCCGATCACCAGCAGCCCAGTTCTCTCCACTAGCCTCGTGACCGACCTGGAAGGACTTACCTTGAATGATACTTCTCTAACCACAGCAGTGAGTAACCTCCGTGATTCTGGTTTGGAAAGGTAGAAATCAAAGGCTATTAAACTCAAAGCAGCAAATGTAGCCTTCATCCGTTTACAGCCCCCTCAATATACTTGTGAGATAGAAGACGCTTTTAAAACGGGGACGAGAGTTGAGCTGGATTGAGTTGAGATTGGACCTTAGAATTTGAACTTCATAAGATTTACTCCAACGTACTAATCCAGAGGTTGGCAACCTTAAACACTCCAAGAGCCATTTGGACCCATCTCCCACAGAAAAGAAAACACCGGGAGCCACAAAACCCTTTTGACATCTAAAATGAAGATAGCACTGCATATATTGTTTTTTTTTAACTTTTATACTACGTATAAAAAAAACTATAGCGTGTTGCATTTATGAAATCAATGAACTGCTACAGAGAAAACAAGTTTTTATTTTCTGCATGCAGCAAAAACATTTTGAACTCCGAAAAAAAAGATGGTTTGAAAAACCTCAATAAATCATGTGCCGGCGGATGTCACACATTGGCGGCTGTGACACACATTTTAAGCGACAGGGAGCCTCAGCAGAGGGATGGAAGAGCCACAGGGTTGCAAACCCCTGTACTAATAACTATGCATTGCTCTTCGTTTGTTGACAGGGCTGCAAGGCAGCTGTTAAGACAACCCAAGTTAGGATAAATTCTATGCCTGGGTGTTAAAGGTACGATGCGTTTTTCTGGCTGTGCTTGTAGGAAAATTGATTCTTGGGTGTGGAGTCTGTGACTTGAAATGGGCCAAGGAAGAGAGAGCGGTCTCAGCATTAAGACCTTGCTCATCCCAGGTTCAATCCATAGCAAATAAGACTGGGAAGAACATCTGTTTGAAACCCTACTGAGATGCTGACGGCCATTCTGGTGGCTTCCTTGGCTTCTAGCTCCTGATTTGTAACTAGGTGTAAGCATATCTCTAAAAGGAGATAGACTTCTCCCCAAACCAACCGGGCATGGAGACTGTTCTTTTTTATCCTTAGAAATGTAGTAATTTCTAAAGAGAGAGGTTTTTAATTTTGTGTTCAGGGTTCCAAGTAATACTGCCCCCCCAATGATAGAAGACTCCAAGGCTTAAAGTTCCTCAAAGTTCCATTTGATTAGAGATGTCATATTGGCACATCTGGAAAAACTTGAATCTGAAAGCTTTCAGGTTTTTATCCACCCAAATGAAAGTCCTTGTGACCTCTAGGCTGGAATACTGCAATGTGCTCTACAAGGGGCTGCCCTTGAAGAGCATCCGGCGACTTCAGCTAGTCCAGAACGCAGCCGCGCGAGTGATTGTGGGTGCACCTCGGTTCACCCACATAACACCTATCCTCCGCGAGCTGCGCTGGCTACCTGTTGATCTCCGGGTGCGCTTCAAGGTGCTACTTGTCACTCATAAAGCCCTTCATGGTAGTGGGTCTGCGTACTTGAGAGACCGCCTCCTGCCAATTACCTCCCTGCGACCAATAAGATCACATAGATTAGGCCTCCGAGCTCCATCTGCCAGTCAGTGCTGACTGGCAACTACACGGAGGAGAGCCTTTTCAGTAGTAGCTCT